GTCGTTTGCACGGGACTACTGAATAAAACGCAGGGGAGCCAAGTTTTTCAACGACCAATAAAATGAAAATAAAAAAATGGCGTGGCAAATTTCTGGATAATTACGTGGAAGAAATTTGTTCGTAGAAGCGGGAAGCTCACCAACCCTGCTGACGCGTAGGCATCTTATTGGCTGGGTGTGGACCAACGGGACGGGCATAAGGTGACGGAAGTGGGCGGCGGGAGCCCTGTGTTGTTCGATTTGCAGAGCGTGGAATGGAGGAGAAGGATGAACATAGAGAATCCAACAGCATCAGGGTATGCGGTATGCAATTCGCATACGAAGGGCAAACTCCGCTCTTCGTTGATTTCAATCTCAATATCTCTCCTGGATCTCGCTGCCTTCTCGTCGGCGCCAATGGATCTGGTAATCGAATCCACTTTTTCCCTCCCTTCTCTTGATTTGATTTTATTGGAATTTTTTCTCTGGAATGTTCTCGAGGTTCATGTTCGGAAATTTGAGGATTTATTCGTGAGATGCGATGATTTTAGATTGGTACTCATTGGATGAGTGCAGGGAAGACTACATTGTTGAAGATTCTAGCAGGAAAGCATATGGTGGGGGGAAGAGATGTTGTGAGAGTGCTAAATCGTTCAGCTTTTCATGACACTCAACTGGTCTGTAGTGGTGATTTGGCTTATCTGGGAGGATCTTGGAGCAAAACTGTTAGCAGTGCTGTGAGTTCCTTTTTCCTTTTCGTTTCTTTTTCGGATTTGAAAGTGGAACTGATGTTCATATGGAAATTGAAAGCATTAGGGGGGTGAAACTGATGTTTATATGAAAATTGAAAGCTTTAGCGGCCCTGCCTAGTGTGATTATTAGCTGATACTTTCATATTGGTGGATGGGATCGCAGTATAATGGAAAGATCTAAGTAGTCTAAACGAATCAACATTTAAGAGTTTGAACAGTTTCGCATGCAGTCCGGATGTATTGAATTTCACTTTTCGCTTGTTGGATTTTCATCTAGATTGCAATAACCTTAACAGGGACCTATAAGGCTGTCTGAAATTGAGACTGGTATAATGTGTTTGGAAGTGAGAAGGCGGCTTTACTTTCCCTTGGTTCTTTTTGTTTAGATTCTGCTAGTGTGAAGTTATTGTTCATTCTTTTAAGAGATGTCTTCCTTGATTCAACGTAAAGTTTAAGTCTTTAGATGGAAAAGGTGCCAAGATTTGTATTGGTTGGCTATTGTTATTATCATGTAAATTTCTCTGCCTTTCTATGTGCCTTTAAAAATTCATTCTGAAAGACTGTTCTTTGAAATATGCAGGGAGAGATTCCACTCCAGGGAGACTTCTCTGCAGAACACATGATATTTGGAGGTGGGTAATCACCTTGTTGATTGCAGAATAAAAAATGAATGGCATACCAATCTCCCTAATGTGAAAGGAGAGAACCTAAAGCATAATAATTAGATAATAGATTTTGATTAGTGTTTGCAGCTTTACATGGTAACCAGTAACTTATTGCCAGTTGAAATTAGGACAAATAATGGGGTCTCTGTTAAATTTCTGGCTATTTCCTTTTCTTCCTTTCTGAAAAGAAAAAGAGGCTCATTTCCATGTTCTTTGATTTCCAGGCTTGCCATTTTTAACTCAAAACAATTTCTTTTCTGTTTATCTTGGCAGTTGAAGGGATTGATCCTATTAGGAGAGACAGGTTAATTGAGCTTCTTGACATTGATTTACAGTGGAGAATGCATAAAGTATCTGATGGGCAACGTCGTCGAGTCCAAATCTGCATGGGTCTTCTTCATCCCTTTAAGGTACTAAATTATATATTTGTCAGTTGTCATATGATAGCATTATACCTCCATTCTTCCTAGTAATATAGATTTTACTTCAGTCAACCTACCATGGTTGTCTAGGCTACAAGTGTTTATGATTAGTTTATTTTGCATGTTGTATGTGTTTATGATATTAATGGAAAGTTAAGTGCTTGGAACTTTTTCGTAAACTCGAAAGCATCTCTTGTTGTGCTGCAGGTTCTTTTACTAGATGAGGTTACAGTGGACCTTGATGTTGTTGCTAGGCTGGATTTACTTGATTTCTTTAAGGAAGAATGTGAACAGGTACTTTGGTGCTTTGTCTACAAAAACGTTGACATGAAACATCCAGATCTTATCAAAGGACTGATACTAAATAATTTCTTACACTAGGAAAATATATAACAAAAACAAACCTTGGGATCTCTAATTGTCTAATAAACTGACTCCGGCCGCTATCTTGGTAGACTACTGATGTATTTCTGTTTGCTTCAGGTCAAAACAACATGATCCTATATATTATGCACTACATTAAAATGAGCTAGATCAGTTTTATGGTTCTTATTCTTTTCTAGTAGGAGTTTATTCGTTGGGTCAGTTGTATGTTTGCAAGTTTGCTACACAAATAGGGCAACAGATGGTTATTCTTGTATCATTCAACTGCTAAATGATACCTATATAATACTATGATTGTGATTTATTTAGGTGCCGGAAGGGAAAACGAAATATTTTTTGATGTTTTCATTAATATTTTGTTATTATATCTATTTCAGAGAGGAGCCACAATTGTATATGCAACCCATATTTTTGACGGGTTGGAGACGTGGGCAACACATCTGGCATACATCCAAGACGGTGAACTGAGGAGGGTGGAGAAGTTGACACAAATTAATGAGTTGAAAAATTCAGCCAATTTACTTTCTGTTGTTGAATCCTGGCTACGTTCTGAAACGAAGTTTGAGAAAAAGAGACCAGTCAACAACCCTGCTCAAGTCCAAAAGAGTTCACCATATGGTGCTTCTCCTTTCATGTCATCTAGGCACATGGCATACTACCGTTGATCTCTCCCAATTCAGCTATTTTTCCAATCATATTCAAATTCAAATCCTGATGCAAAAGAAAACTTGGCAAAGCTTTCTATAGCTGGGTAGGGGCTGTTTTAAGTTGGGGGATTCCTCTCTTTCAGAAGCTCCTTTATGTGAGGATATTGTACCCGGCCTTATGATCAACCTTTAGCAAATACAGTGTTCTGAGCTTTGCACCTTTTTAGGATACCAATGAGATTTATTGATTGAAATCAGGATGTATGGTTGTAGCTTTTTGAGCCGGTTTGCTACAGGGATGAACTCTTGGTCTAATAATCTGCTAATGGCAGACAATGTCGTAAGCTCCTTTTGGGGTTTATCAATTATCATGAAAAATGACTGTTAAATTTTTATGTGAGATTTTCCTTCATGATTTCTATTTTGACACAATATTTGATAGGAAAGCCTTCTGTTTGCCTTTGTGATTTATCTGTAAAGCTCAATCTCCTTGATTTGGTATACAACCGTAACAACTAACAATTCAATTTGGTTTTTCTTACCTGAGAGCTTTTGTTTCACTTTTCCTCTACTCATTGTTTAGTAACTCATTTCAAATGTAGTGAGTGTGAGTGATTGAATTGCCTTATCCCAAAAAAGGAAGTAGTACCGAGCGGGTGCAAACTGATTACTGGGAATCTTGATTTCCAAAATTAGAGTGCCTTCAAACCAAAACCATCAACCATTTTAATCTCCACTCTTCACAAGAAGGCAGAAGGGCAAACTAACTATAGAAATTTTGACTTACACCTCCGAAAATTGAGAATCATCACTAAAGAAGCGAAACTCCCAACCTAAAAAGAAACTAGAGATCTTTAATTAGGAGAAATTTGGCTGTCATTGGACATCTGTTATGTAATATACCTAATAAATAGAAAAATGATACCCCAAAAACCTCTCTACTTAGCACAAGTTTTTAACATGCTATCTTCCTATTAGTTGGGATAGCTCTAGACTTAATTAAGATAATACCATATCACAAATATCTTGCGATACAATAAAAATTTCCTTAATTAGATAAAATATTCTCAACCACCAAATCATCTTGTGTTTGGTGGAGCTATAGTTTATGCTTTTGTTGAAATTCTAAACCATTCCACTACTCGTGCTGAGGAGTGGGTGAGATCATGAAACTGAGAACACCAATCAAAGTACACTAATCAAAATTTTTTTTGAACAACAATACACTAAGCAAGATTGCATTACAGATTTGCAACTTTACAAGCATTCTTAGAGATTCAGACTAACCTTTTTATTTGCTAAACCGATTGCCGCAGCCAATTTTAATTAATTTGATGGGTACACTTCTCCAACTCCCCCCACACAACCACCTCAGCAACAAACAACTACACTTCCCCCATTGAACTCTACTTCCTGATATTGCCCCCACTCCTATAGGAACTAATTAACTAACCCCTAAATACCACAAAGTGAAAAACCCTGTAAAGCTTTCTTGTCCCCACTATACACTAATGTGTAGGGGTGTGGAATTTGATCCCAAATCCTTAATACTATTAGCTTGACTTTACATGGAAGTTCAAAAGGAAGTCACTTCGTAATTCTTTGATTAAATTGACTTGGATTGCTTCCTCTTATAACCTGTGCCAACTATCAAGAAAGGAATAGAAGAATATTGCATCAAAATCATTATAGATTAGAGTCTCTTTTTTTTTTTCTTTTTTTTCTTTTTTTTGAGTATTCAGTTTTGGAGCACATTACCAAACTGGACTTTTAGCAGTCTTCTTATTAAGTAATGCTTTGCAACATAAGAGTTATTGTAAGAGATGTTTTAGAGGTTAAAAGCATTTTTATATTACAAGTTTTAAATTTGAGTTTTGGTGACTATTAAATAAAAATCAGTTTGAAAAAATAAGGACTATTTTTCTATTGATCCTTCATCATCGAAAATACTAAAAGGAACATTTGAGCTATTCGCATTAGAGCCTCCACCAAAAGAATTGATTTAAGAAAACACTAGAGACTTATAAAAATCTCATTTTTCTTTCATTTTCTACTTGATATTTACCCGACATGGCTAAAGTTGGTCCCATAACTAATTCCTTTCTTGCAAGTAACCCAAATCCAAACTGGTCCTTTTATGTTAGTTTGAAATTTGGATCTGACTTCAAAAAGTCCACATTTAGACTATCTTAGCGTGTTAGTATTTAACCGTTAACCAACCAACAGCCCTACCGTATTAAGAGATTTTTCAATTTTTTAAAAAGAATTTGTTTAGAGGAGAATAAATATTTTTTTTATAATTAATTTATATAAAAAATTATAAATATTAATATTTATTTTAATATT